GGAGGGGATGGGGACCACCAGGAAACAGTAGGCGTGTCCATATCTTTCGGCGTGTCAGAGTTCGCGCCAAAAGAAGACATTCTTTCGTGGGGAACTGTGACCTCGTGTTTTAGTCAACGTAACAGATTAGTCACGCACTCTCCTTTTAGTCCTTTCCACTGACGCCAGGTCCTCCTCCCTCCACACTCCGATCCCCAACCCCCACAAAAGCTCCAAACGTTGTCGTTACCCTATAAAAGAAAATAACAAAAAAAAAAAAAAAACTTATTTAGGAGTATAAGTTTTTAAAATAAATAATAGCCAACAACAATCTTATATTTGAATTGATTTTTAGTTTTTAACTACTACACATGACTTGCAATTGACTCTAACATTCACCTGATTAAAGAGATATTTGTTTGTTTGAAATTAATAAATAGTTTATAAAAGAATTTAATAAATAGTTGTTTCGTTTGATTTATCAAAAAATAATGTTTGAATTATTATTTAATAACAAATAATTATCATTATTTGGATTAGTCCATGCTGTTATATGACACATTCCTTAAATGTGAACTTTATATTAAGTTAGAACAATTCATGCACTTATAAATGGTTTTAAAAAGAAGTTAATTACAAAAGACATTTTTTTAGGAGATTATAGGAGCATATCTTTTAATATTTAAAAAATTAATATCAATTTTAAATTTTATATTTAATTTATAAAGTAATATTTATTTAACAATAAATTCATTCTTAAATTCAAAAAAAAATTATTATTATTATTATTATTTTAAATGGATTGAAATTTTGAGAGATAATATATTTGAACTCAAAAATCCTCAAATATTTAAAGCCATTGGGAGGCAATACCAAGTGCAAAAAAGAAATTTTTTATTTTGATGGTATAGTAAGAGACAATTATCTTTTATTTTTTATTTTACTCTACTCATATATCATACGATTTTAATTCTAAATATTTTACTTTCAATGAAATGTGATATTCATTGAACCATTTAGTTAATTGATATAAATTTTTTATTAAGAAATGGA